GGGGGGGCTTTCCCTGGGGCAGCCTTGGCAACGCCACCTCCAGGCCAGCCTTTTGGGTTGGAGCAACCCCTATCATGGCTATTCAGCCTCAAGGGGCAAATGGGGTGCTTTCACCCAGATCCTGCACACCTGATTTCCAGAAGGAAACAGGCATTCAGGCAAGAACCAGGAGGGGAACTCCGCCGGAACCTGCTTTATCGACTCAACTCTGTGCCCATGGCCCAGCCCACACCTTCCACACCTCCCACCCATCCTCTCCCACACAACCTTCTTTTATTGACATCTCTGGGCCTGACCTGAACACCTCATCAGTTTTTAGATTAGGTCGCCCTAGATGAGCTCTGACGTAATTCCGAATCTGCCTGGAGCTGTCTTCTGTCTGCATTCCTGTCCTATCCCTCCCTTCTTTACCCTCAGTCCGTTCCAAAACCTATGATGCACAGAGGGACCACCAGGAAGGCAAGCAAGCAGGCCCCGGCCCTTTTCTTCCCTCCCCTCCCCATTAAATACGTTTCTTTTTGCCTTTGGTCCTAGTTCCTTTTATGGTCATTTCCTCCAGCCTCACTCCTTTCCTCCTTGGCTCCCTTCTGACGTCCAGGTGCGCCCTTAGCCCCAGGCTCACCTTTGATCTCGATGTCATGTAATCGCTCCTGCCAAAATCCCCGGAATGGTGCAATGCCAGTCCCTGGGCCCACCAGGATGCAGGGCAAGTTGGGATCAGGTGGCAGCCGGAAGGAAGGAGCCCTAGCCAGAGAGAGTCCATTAAGACTTCTTTTCTTCACCCATGACCTTATACATACCAACTAACCTTTGGCTGTATAGACAGGAAAGCCTAAGGCCCAATGACAAACGAGGTGGGTTTTTTGTTTGTTTGTTTTGGTGCAGGATCTCACTATACAGTTCTGGCTGGTCTGGAACTTGCTTTGTAGACAAGGTTGGCCTCGAACTCACAGAAATTCGCTTGCCTCTCTGCCTTCCAAGTGCTGGGATTAAAGGTGTGTGCCCACCGTGCCTGACGGAAGCCTAGACTTTTAACATAAGCTGTCGCCAAGGACTCAGCGAGGCAGGCAGGGGCTACACTTTCACAGAGCAGCAGGGCCACTGGCTAATCCATGTTGTTTCTGGTAGTTGTGGTTTCAGGGGCAGGACTCTGCACCAAGTTATTGAGGCCCAAAGCTCAGCCATAGTTGTGAAGCGCCCCCGAGACTCACTGTTCTTGATGTAGTAATAGACCCTCCATGCTCTGGGAGGACCCGATCACCAGCTCATCCTGTGTGGCACGCTCCTCCTCCTACATTCCACACTGGTCCCTGCCAGGCACTTTCTCATCCCTGTCTGGACACAGACGACCCCTTCTAGTTGCCCTGCCCTACCCCAGAGGCCTCACTTACCCCCTGATGAAGCAGGGCACCAGGTCTCCTGCCTTGAGTTGGCTCAGCCACGTGGAACACACGCCATAGTGCAGGGGGCCCAGCCCATCTAGGGTTAGGAGGAGAGGCCGTTCAGAGGGTCTGTCTTAGCCCTGCCGAGACCAGGCTCTCCCAGCTCCCAGCCTCACCCTGGGTTCTGTACGCCAGCACAGCCACAGTGAGGTGGATCTCTCCGGGGTGGGCGCTGGGCGCTGAGCTGACCGAATAGTACCGGGGCTGGAGCAGGGGCAGCTGGGTGAGGATCAGAGGGGCGGGAAGCGCCACTGACGGGAACTGCTCCAGCACCTCCAGCAGCGTGGGGCAGCGGAACCACTTCCACTCCTCATAGCGTCGGGGGTCCTGGGGGCAGATACGCTGAGCTGAGGGCCCCCCCCACCCCGGTCCTTCCCAGAGTGAGCCCTACCTAGCTGAACCTCCTTAGGGTTCACCCATCTCAGTGTATTTCACCACACCCCTCTTGAAGACCCAGAGCACCCGGAGAGGAGTCGGTCAGCCTGGGGACAGGTCTTAAAGCACCAGTGCATGTTGGTCAGGAGAAGCAAGTGCGGAGGACCTGACTGACATGAAGGCAGGGGGGAACTCCCTTTCACGGAGGGTCCCTTAGCTTATTTATCATCCTCTAGTCTAGCCCCCGCCCCCCACAGCATGCCCCCCCACCTGGCTGAGGGCCTCTAGCTCCTGCTGTTCGCTGGACTCCTCTGCCAGGGTGCTGAGCAGTCGGAGGAGGCGAGGGCTGGGCGGGGAAGTGATGTCCAGGAAGAAGGTGAGAGCCTGGCGCAGCGTACATGGGGGCAGCCGGGGGTCCCGCACCCAGCCGGGGGGAGGGCCACCTGGGGGTGAATGCACAGGGAGCTCTGAGGGAGAGGACCACTGAGACCGGGTGGTCTGAGCCAAAGTTCACTTTGTTCATTTGGGGGACTGACCTTGTGTTACTGTGTCTTATTGGAAACCTTGTCCTTGAATGGTGGCATGTGCTTGTCTGTGCAGCCCTGGTATGTTTGGGGGGACCCTGGCTGAACTGGGTTGGTCTGATCTCCTCTGCCCTAACCCCAATACGTTATCATCTCCAAGCATTGTTTTGGAAGGAGATAGACCGACTACGGGAAATTAAACTGTGGGGAGGCGGTGGCTATGGGAGGAGGCTTTTAGGGTGCTTGGTGGGTTCTGGGAAAGGGTCGCGTGCAACAAGGCCATCCTGGCTGGAGTGGCAGCTAGGTCCGGGTAGTACCGAGGTGTGAAGCAGGGTGGCAGCCCTGTCAGCGCTGAGTGCCAGGGGGTCCTGTGTCAGGGGACGCGGCAGGCTCTAACCCTCCCACCCCAGCCCACAGTCCTCACCAGGGCTGCCCTTCTCCAGCTGCTCCACGGCCACGGGCTCTGTGGATGGTGGAGGGTCCTCCACTCTGCTTAGCAGGGCCTCCACGAGGCCAGGGCGGTTGGGTGGGCACACACCTATGTGGTCCCCGGGCTGATACTGCAGTCCCTCTTGGCCACCAGTGTCCAGACGCACCAGGATTGTGGCTCGGCTGGGGTATAAAGGGAGGCAGGTACTGAGGTCAGAGAATGGCAAGGAGGAGCCAGGAAGAGGGTGGGAGAAAGGAGTGTGGTAGGTCTGAGTGAGGAGGGAGCCTAACAGTGAGGAGAATGGGGGGAGCCTCACGTGGACTTGCTGCTCTGCAGGTTCTCCACGGAGAGGATCGTAGCCTGGAACATCCTCCGTCTGTGCACATGGGTCAGCCCTGGGGAGCAAGGAGGTAAAGGGGCCTGAGCAAGTGAGTGGCTCCCTGCCTGTGAGGGAGAATCCTAGGATGACCACCCCCGCCCCACACACACTCATCAAGGTCAGGTTGAGGTCAGGGTTGTACCTGGTAGTAACTGCAGGCTCTCAGACTGGGTACTCAGCCGGTACCTCTGGCGCTTCCAGCTGCGTTTGGGGCTGAAGATGTCTCGGGCAGCAGCCTTGGCATCTTCTCCCACACAGAAGGTTTCACAGGCGGCCTGGGGGATGAGTAGGTGAGGACCTAAGGCTGCTGGCCACCAGGGAGCCTCAGTCGGGGAGGAGTGTATTAAGGGAGGTAGGGCTGGGCCTGCCAGCCGTCTGGCAGTCTCCTCTCATCCTAAGTTCCTAGCTGTGGGGACGGCACCCACATTGGTGTGAGGGAGGATGAAGTTGTAAGACCGAGGCTGAGGCTGTTGCTGACTGTAGCACCTTATTTTCTAGCTCATGTGACCACTATCCTAGGGACCCTGACTTGTTACACCCGCTTGTCTGATGAGTACTGATCCCATGTCTCTGGGAGCACGCTGTCGAAGGCAGTTATGAACTCAGAGCTGAGTCTGGATTCTCTCGGTACCTGTCATCTTCCACGTCCCAGTTTCTCATCTTGACCCCTCACTGGGTTCCAGGAAACATTAAATAAGATACTTTCATTTTTAGAAGCAGGGTCTTTTGTAGCCCAGGCTGGCTATGTAAAAAAGGTGGCCTTGAGCTTCTGATCCTCCTGCCTCCACTTCCCAAGTGCTGGGCTTACAAGAGTGTGCCACCATACTTGGGTTTTGTAGTGCCAAGGGCTGACCGTGGGGCTTGGTGCATGCTGGGTAAGCACTTTCCTTGAGCTGCGCCCCCAGCCCCGAGATGCTTTCTGCAAAGCCCGGAGCACAGTGTGTGCAGAGGGCCGGTGCTATCTCACTGGAGGAGGTGCAGGGAGCCTGCTCTATCTGGCTGCTTCTGGCCGGGGATAAGTGGACTAGCATGCTGTTCCAGCCTTGAGATCCAGGGCTCCCCTGGAAACAGGCTGTTACTGTTTCTTTTCTAGTGTGTGCGGCCTTATATCTCTTCCTTCCTCCCGTGGCCCTCTCCCTTCCTTCCGATCCCCACTGCTCCCGTCCCAGTGAGTCTGTCTTCCTGCTTCTCAGATGCCTTCATTCGTCTGCATCACCAGTTATACACTTCAAGTGTGGGCTCACCCTGCTCGGGAACTTCCCGCATCTCCGTTGGTCTATATTCTCTGGATCTCGCTTTCTATTTCTCTTTTCTCACTCCTTCCAAGCAAACCCTCTGGTGCCTCCATCTCCAAAGGAGGCCTCTTTCTTGCACTGGGTCCAGACTAGCTAAAACTGAGACCCACATGGATGGACAGATGTGGGGCTCCCTCACTAAGTGAGAAGTATCAGCGTGATAAAGATGCCCGGAGGAAGTTCCTGGGGATACTTCTGTGTCCAGATCAGCCCTTCGGCCAGGCACCAGGGCTGGTCTCCAGCTCCCTGGAGTTCCTCCTGGCCTTAGCCTTAGCCCTGACCTCTGACGGATTCTCTGGGCCCGGTCTTCTTCCATCTTGCCTGCTTTGAGTAGGCATCCTGGTGCTCTGACCTTATTCCTTTCTGCGCCCGCTCCTGGGGCCAGCTTGGGGCTGTCTGAGGAGCCCTTCTGTAGGCCCTCTTCTTTTTTGCTTCTCTGTTGCTAGGACCTGTTGTCCACTACTTGGGGCTGATCCCAGAAGGGCTGGCTATGGAGTGGCGAAATGAAGGCAAATTTGGAAAGGAATAGGGCCGGGCCGGAGAACCAGATTAGGAAGTCAGTGAACCTCCAGTCTCAGTATTTCAGGTTCCAACTACAAAAGCCTGTAGGGGGCATCTCAGGTTGGTCAGAGTCAGAACACCGAGGCTGACCAGGGTGCAGGGGAGCTCACCTGGAAGGCTGCCTGGGCCCAGCCTCGGAAAGCCTCCTCCTGGCCGCAGAGCTCATCACCCTGGCCCAGCTGCAGCAGGCGCTCCCCACCCAGCTCCTCCAGCCTCGTGTCCACGGCCCGGGCAAAGGCACAGAAGTGGGGGTATGCTCGGGAGCCCAGCCCGAACACACAGAACCTGCGGCACAGGGAGCCGTTGTTGACCCCTGCCAGCCCATGTCTACCCAGGGGGCTGCTCTCTCCCATTCACCCTCTTTAGTGAGGACCCCCAACCTGAGGGTGCCCAGGGCCCCCGCGCTGTCTGTGTTACTAGACTCCTTCCTCTTGCGCCGCCAAGAGGACACCAGTGGGTCTGAGCAGGAGACGCTGTTGAATCGGATTTTGTAACTCCTGGCAAGAGAGAGAAGACAGGGTGTCGCTTAAGGAACTGGAAACTCGGCCCCGTCCCAGCCGGGGAGTAGTTTGGGAGTTTATACACCTGGGGTGAGAAGGCTTGAAACACAACCTTGAGGTAATGGTGGAGGGCTCTGCTCTGCCTCTCCTCCTTCCCGGAGAGAGTCATAGCGGAGTCATAAGCCTGCAAATGATCAGGTCCCCAGGGAGGGAGGGCCCTTGGGGCTGGGCTGCTGTCAAGGTCTCGTGCTCTCTGTTCTCCAGCTTGTTGGGAAAGACTTGAGAGACCTGGGTGAGGCCCCTGAGACCTCTGTTTCAGTGTCCCCAATGCCCTTTGTTCTGTCTTCTCCCTCCCACTCACTTGTGCTGCTCAGGCCGAGGGGAGCTGTTGTAGGGACCCGACATCTCCATCAAGGCCGCTGCGAAGCTCTGTACAGGGAAGGGTTTGCATCATGGTTAGTTTAGTTTATATTATACGGGAACTTAAAACCAGCCTGACTGGGCCTTATTATTCTGTATTAGTAACTTCTGTCTTGAAAATTCAAAAGCTCAACTTTTTAAAGAACCACATTACAGAGGTATATAAAGTAAAAGAGAAAGCCCAGCCGGGCGGTGGTGGCGCACGCCTTTAATCCCAGCACTCGGGAGGCAGAGGCAGGCGGATCTCTGTGAGTTCGAGGCCATCCTGGTCTTCAA